TCAAGGGCCAAAAGACTCAATATCCTTAATCATCAGGGAAATGCAAATCAAAACGATTCTGAAATATCATCTAACACATGTCAGAATGGTTAATATCAAAAACACTGAGGATAGTTTATGCTGGAGAGGATGTAGAGTAAGGGGAACACTCCAGCATTGCTGTTGGGAGTGCAAACTTGTACAGCCACTTTGGAAATCAGTATAGTGATTTCTCAGAAAATTGGGAATCAATCTACCTCAAGACCCAGCAATACCACTACGGGCATATAATCAAAGGATGCTAAATCAAACCACAAGCACATTTGCTCAACAATGTTCATAGCAGCATTATTCATAATAGCCAGAAACTGGAAACCTAGATGCCCCTCAACTGAAGAATGAATAAGGAAAATGTGGTACATTTACACAATGGAGTACTACTCAGCTGCAAAAAACAATGACATCATAAAATTTGTATGCAAATGGTGGAACAAAAAAAATCTTGAGTGAGGTAACTCGGACCCAGAGAGACAAATCCGGTATGTATTCACTCATAGTGGATAGAAGACGTAAAGTAAAGCAAAGGACAACCAGACTACAGTCCACAGCTCCAGAGAATTGGGGGGGGGGGGGGGGGAGAAGAGAAGGACAGGGAGGAAGAAATATATAGCTCATTAAAAACAAAAAAAAATGTTCAGCCGGGCGGTGGTGGTGCAGCCTTTAATCCCAGCACTCGGGAGGCAGAGGCAGGCAGATCTCTGTGAGTTAGAGACCAGCCTGGTCTACAAGAGCTAGTTCCAGGACAGGAACCAAAACCACAGAGAAACCCTGTCTCGAAAAAACCAAAAAAATAAATATAAAAATAAAATGTTTTTTGGGGGGTATAGACAGTCATAGAAAAGATAGGTGGTGTTGGCACATGCCTTTTTTATTCCCGGCACTTGGAGGCAGAGGCATATGGATCTCTAAGTTTGAGGTGAGCCTGGCCTACAGAGTGAGTTACCAGACAGCTAGGACTGTTACAGAGAAATCCTGTTTCATAAAAACAAAACAAAAAGAAAAAATAGAATAGTTTAAAAACAATAAAGTCTTTAAGAGAGAACAAAGTAAAGAGAATAAGCCATGTGAAGATGGGAACACAGGTGTCTGGATCCCCTATGGTGTTTTGTTGATGCTGAAGTTTTAAATGATAATGAATAAATCATCAAGTGCTGAGAGACACTGGATTATGAAAACTGCTAAATGAAACTAACCTATATATTTTGAGAATGTCTTTTAACTTCAGAATGAAAGTCAGAAAATATGTGGCAGTGGGGAAGAGGTTTTGCCTTTGTCTCCAGAGGAAATGGAAAGTTATGGTTCTCTTCACTTGATTGGGGGGACCTCCTGAAAATCTTGGCTACACACGAGAAAAGAAACCAAGAAAGACTGCAGGACAGATGATGTATATGCGGATCCCTCTACTATGGGAGTAGCTCTAAGACTGGGTGAGACATAGTAAATCTGTTGAGTCCACAGCATGGGTAGAAATTTGGTTATACAGTCAAGAGATTTATAAAGCTGACAGATACCTTTTATCTGTTCAAATATAAAATGAAAAAATCAACTTTAACTGATGTGTGCACACTGCATATCCCATATTTATGTTAATGCAGATATACACATTACCTTTAAAATTCTGAGTGTTTTCGGAACAAGAACAAGACATCAATAAAGACAAAAACAAACGAACAAACAAACAAAAAAAAAAAAACCACAGGTGATCTAGTCTCTCAAAATGCCTCTGTTTGCAGATTCCTCCAAATTCTGCATCCAGAACAACTTCAAAGCTGCTAGGTGAGATAGTCCAGAATCACACACTACTCCAGCCAGGACTTCAGATAAGTCCTGCATATTCCCATCACACACAGACTGAACAAATGATACAGCTAGCTTCCCCAGCCTTGACCATTATCTCAGTTTTCTCTAGTTCCCTAAAGATGCCTTCATTCTCAGACAATAGGAAGCAGTCTAGAAAATACAATACCCACATTCCCTAGAGGTGGAATGGGTGATTTTTGGTCATTCAATGTATTGTGGATGTTTTCATTGGTTCAGGCCATTCTATTCAAGCTATTACTGGTCAAGGCAAGGGAAAAAAACTAAGCAAGAAAGGTTAGAAAAAAGGGAAATACAGGAATGATAGGATAAAAGGGTAGATTACTGAATCTACTTTAAACTAAAAAGCAACTACTAACCTCAAATATTTTATATTATCATGGACTTTTGCATACTGATACAAATTTAAAGTTATTTTCATTATAATGTATTATATGTTTCTATTCTTGGTTAAGGTATTGTACCTATGCAGCTCATTTAATAATGTAATGCAAATTTTTAGTCCTTGAAAATTATTATTACAAAGTATTAAAGATAATTAAGAAATACAGGTTAGGGCTGGAGAGATGGCTCAGTGGTTAAGAGCATTGCCTGCTCTTTCGGGGGTCCTGGGTTCGGTTCCCAGCGACCACATGGTGGCTCACGACCATCTGGAATGAGATCTGGTGCCCTCTTCTGGCCTTCAGGCATACAGGCAGAAGGAATATTGTATGCATAATAAGTAAATAAATATTTAAAAAAAAAAAGAAATACAGGTTAGTAGTTAGTCACAATCAAACTTGTGGCCATGTTAAGTATGTTTTCAAGGTCAAACAGAAATATATTTAAGATAGACAGATAGTCTTCAAGCATTTCAGAGACCCACAGAATATGGCATTTAAAATGTTTTAATAACAAGGCTTTTCATGATAGTAAGACATATCTGCTCCTGGTGGCATCAATCTACTACAAAAAAGAATGATGGGGCTGGAGAGATGGCTCAGTGGTTAAGAGCACTGGCTGCTCTTCCAGAGGACATGAGTTCAATTCCCAGCAACCACATGGTGGCTCACAACCATCTGTAGTGAGATCAGGCACCCTCCTCTGGCATGCGGGCATACATGGAGGCAGAATGTTGTATATATATGATAAATAAATCTTTAAAAAAAAAGAATGATGGAAATAGAAGAACCTCCATATGGAGTCTGCTTTTATTGTGACAAAGCTAGCTATTTTAATAAATAATGCCAGCCTGAAGTCGTCCTGGTCAGCCTTACAGACCAGGCATTGGTGACACTCACCTTTAATCCCAGTAGCCACACTAGTTTGCCATAGAAACCAGGTGGTGCAAGTCTTTAATCCTAGCCCTAGAGGATTATAAACCAGGAGGAGACAGCTCTCAGACATAGTCTCATTTTGAGATTCCTGGAGGCAGGATTGCCATTTCAGACTGAGGTAGAGGTAAGAGCCAGTAGCTGGCTGCTTTGTTTTTCTGATCTTCAGGTTGAATCCCAATTTCTGTCTCTGGGTTTTTATTAATTGTGCTACAGTTAGTCACTGGGCAAGAAACTTTCCTTGTCTTTAACTGCTAACAGTATGCAGTCCATACTGAACAAGCAGGACATAAAAGTTCTGACTGCAGAACTTTGTCAAGACAGGGTAGGACAGTCCTTCAAAATACCTGCTTCATGGAAATATCTGTCAGATATTCTAGGCCTGTAGGTCCAAGATGGATGCCCCATCATTGGAGAAGAACTTTGGATGACTGTCCAGGCAGCCAGATATCTCTGTTGTTTCTTAGATTAGAAAGTTGTTTGTGCAACACTTCCTGTTTACTCAGATAATATTGTATCCTTTTCAAATCCTTGATGGGGCTCAAGACTAGATCGTTGTAATTACAATTTTCCTTGTTACCAAATTCAGAAAAGGAGTTTATATTAGAGATGTAAACTGTATAAGGTTCAGAAACATAAAAGCTTAAGTTGTTTATCTAAGGTATTTTTATGATGGTAATACACGTTATGATAGAGAATGGTTTGAAACTCTGGACTAAGACAGGAAAGAAATACAGTGCTTTCTCCACATTTGCCAACTACTGTGAATGGAATTCTTATCTGATAATTGTTCTTATTGTATATACTTTTACTATGTCAGAGTTCCAATCTTCCCTTTTTACTTAAGACAAAAAGGGGAAATGTTGTGGGATACTTTTATGCTGTGTTAAGATATATTTCTGTGGTTGGTTTAATAAAGAACTGAATGGTCAAGAGCTAGGCAGGAGGTATAGGCGGGACTTGGGGGCAGGGGGAGAGGAAGTAGGACATTAATCTAGGTGCAAGAAAGACACAAAGAATGGGACAGTGGTAAAAGCCATGTAGTAGAAGGTAGATCAATACAACATGGGTTAGTTATACTATTGTTGACAACAAGTCCAAGAACTAAAGGCCAAGCCTTCACAATTAATAAGTCTCTGGGTTGCTATTTGGGAGCAGGCTGGTGGGACAGAGAAAGAGGCCATGGTGGCTGAATAAGAAGAGTGCCACAGGCTCATATATTTGAATGCTTCATCACCAGGGAGTGGAGCTATTCGAAAGGTTAGAAGGATTAGGGGGTGTGGCCTCGTTGGAGAAAGTGTGTCACGGGGGTGGGGAGTGTAAGCTGTGAGGTTTCAAAAGCCCATACCAAACTCAGAGCCTCTCTCTCTCTCCATATGGATCAGGAAGTAGAACTCGCAGCCACTTCTCCAGCACCGTGCCTCCCTGTGTGCCACCATGCTCTTGACTATGAGGATAATGGACTCAGCTTCTCAAACTATACGCCAGTCCCCAGCTAAATGCATTCTAAGAGCTGCCTGGGCCATGAGTCACCTCATTGCAAAAGGACAGTAAGCACAACAGAGGCCTGATGATGTAGCTAAGCCGTGAAACACTTGCCTGGGCTGGCAAGGAGGTGGCCCTGGGCTCCCTCCCCAGAACTGCAAGTTGGTTGGGGGTGGAAGAATTTCCATGGAAGCATTCCTATCTAAAACACCACACACTCATGAGAGGGCATCCCAAGGATCACTGTGAGATGGTCACCCTGCTCTCACACATGGCCTTCCCTGAACCAGTTTGGGGCCACCCTCTTCCACAGCCCATGTGTGTGTCAGGACAGGAAACACTCACTCCTTGGCTTCCTTCAAACCGGATGGATGGTCTCAGGGACACAGAATCCTACAAGAGAACAAAAGGGAAAGCTTCAATGGATATAAAATCCACATCCTTCCAGCCACACAGGGCCAGAGCACAAAGCGCATTCAGAGACCCAAAGGGTTTTGAAGGGTCAGTAGGAGTTCCAACTGCCAGAGACAAAGTCACAGAAGCAGAGCCTTGAGACCTGGGCAGCCAGCAACAGGTCAGGAGCCTTGGTGCTGTCCAAGGCCGATTCCCTGGGAGAGGAGAACAGGTGGAGCTTAGCACACTGTGGCCTTTGTGGAGCAGATCACAGTTACAGGATCCTGCTGTGGGGTGAGGACACCCGGCAAGCCCTTCAGAGCCATGTCTGGGTAGTGGCTCCTACAGGAAACCTGCACTGAAGGGCTTCAGCCCAGAGCAGAATGACTCCAGTCTCCATTCTGCTCCAGAGCCCACCGGGTCCAGGCCACCTTCTCTCAGGGATGCTGTTGTCTGCAGGCTCCTGCCCCCTCCATTTCTCCCCTAGGCAAGGAGATGATGCATAGCTGCAGTGCCAATAACTCCACTGCAGGGCAGGCCTGGGGGCCGAGGGGGCACTGCACACTGGGCCAGAGCCAGAACCAGAGCTACCAGCTGGCATGGCAGGAGCAGCCAGTCAAGGGCAGGTGGGGCGGGGAGAGGTGGCCGGTGGTCCTACAATAGCATACAATTATCCTTCAGGGTGGAGGCAGTGAGGGTCCCTTTGTCTGCAGAACCCCATGCCTTGGGCCCTCTTTGCTCTCCAGAGATGACCCACAGGGCCAGTCGCTCACAACCATGTCAGCTGCTCAGCCATGTCACAGAACACCCAGCATGCATGAGGGCGCTGTGCTGAAGACACAGGTGAGGATCCCTGCAGAGGGGTCATGGCCACACCACAACCAATCTCCTACCCAGTGGTGGCATGTCCTCAGGGCCAATGACAGGTGCTGAGAAGACAAAGCCAGTCTGACAACCCTCTCCCAGGACAGAACCACACCCACACGCTGTATAGGGTGGTAGGGTTCTTTGATCTTGTGTGATGCTGGGCACACCAGTGCACACCTGCCACTGAGTCAACCCTGGCACCACCGCACATTTTGGTGTGCCACACCAAGGACAGTGGGAGAACTTACAGCCAAAGCTCACACTTTGAGGTTTAAGGGCCAACTGGTGAAGCCACCCAAAAGCAGAATGTGACCTGGATGTGACCTCGGCTCCCATGGCCACATGCTGTGTGAGTGAGTCCCAGCTTACAGGAGAATGAGGTAGAGCCTAGAGTCATCTTTGGCTATATAGGAAGTTTAAGGCCAGCCTGGGCTACGTGATATCCTGATTGAAAAAAAAATATCAAAAAATAAAATCCCTCACCAGTCACTGTATGGGAGCCACCTCTGTGCAATGCACTGCTTGCCTGTGTAGATGTCTCTTTGGATTAGGAAGCCATAGAGCAAGGGGAAGTGCCACTCATTATCCTCCCACTTTTTTTTTTTCCAGGATTTGTACACATGCTTGGACTGTCACTGGGGCCGTATCTTACCATAAAAGACAGGTTAAAGGAAGCCTCTGAAAGACACAAGAGCCACTCAGAGCAAAGGTCAGGTGGCCTTGTGGCACTGGGCCCAGGAGGAGGAACAGCAGGTACAGCCTGGCCCACATCCACCCCAAGGGCCAAGTTCTTTAGAGGTCAGTGCAGAAGCAGAACACAGGGATCTACTAAAGGACAAGACAGAAAAAAACACATCCTCCATGACATGCATGGAGTCGTAGGTGATAGCATACGGGGCCAGCTCTGAGAGTGGCCTTATGGCCATGCAGACACTCCCCTTGATCTGTAAACTTTCTGGCTGCTCATTCTCCTACAGCTGTCTTGGAGTAGCCCAGGAGCTCAGCCTTCCTCAGACCTGGGAAGGTTGACCTCAAGCGGCTGTTCCCATGTGACCTGGCTGTTTTCATAAACCTGGGCTCCCAGCCATACAGGCTGGGCTTTCATGTCAACAAGGAGTATTCACTACTCAGACCCATCATTTGACTGCAGCTCCCACAGGGTTAGACAGGCATGGATGGAACAAGGTACGCCATGGTGGTGCACCATCAGTGAGGAAGGCTGAGGCAGGATGGTGAGTCCCAGCTCAGCCTGGGTTGCAGGGCAAAACCTTGCCTCAAAAGCCAACAGCCTCTGGGCAAAGTGCCACAACCCATACCTGTCATGAGGTCACAGTGACCCACAGGGAAAAAGCAGGTTAATAAAGCCAAATCAGGAGGGGCGCTGCTGTTGTTCCACAACAAACCGAGGAACACAGCTGTTCACCGTGGCCTTGGCCCATTTGTCTGACAGCTGAAGGCCCACTGGGTGAGTCAGTATCAGAAGACAGGTGACCAGGCTGAGCTACCCTGCTAGTGCCTGTCACTAGCCCAGCAGGTGGTCTTGTGTAGAAACCTAGGGGCCAGGCTGGAGTCCACTGTCCTGGACAGTGCAGCCAGGCCACGTGAAGGACAGCAGGTGCCTCACATCAAAGCTAAGCACAGGCTCAAAAGCCTTAAGAGGCCTGAGGAGTTAGGTTTCTCCAAGGGTGTCCTGTGTTTATAACCACCCACTCCTACCACATTCCATCAACCCTCCTGGTCCTGAGGGGGAAAACCTGGATTCTGTAGAAGCTCCGCCCCCTGGGCTGCTTTCAGTCAGAAGGGACAAAGCTCTCTGGGATTCAGGCTGCTGAGTACCTAGGTAGCTCCAGCACCAATCCTATCCCAATCTGGGCAGTGAGTGACGGCTGCTAGCTGGTGGCAAGAGAAGCCATGCCTGTTTCCCCGGGATCGGCATGCAGAAGTTATGTTCCAGAAGTAGCCAATGTTGTACCTCCTGTTAGCATCCAGACTTGATAGTGTAGGAGTCACCAGGTGGTGCTGGTCTGGAAGGTCACGGAGAACAGACAAGGCTCAACAGATGCTGTGTAGCAGGACAGGAGTCCCAGAAGAGAGCCCAGGAGAGTTTGTTGGTGATAGTGCAGCCCAGTTGCAGCAGAGACTCCAGCACTGTGTAGATGACAGTACCATGGGAAGACCACCAAGGTCAGCAGCAGTGGGGAGTGGAGCCACAGGGCAGAGCCAGAGAAGTGACCCAAGACCCTTGGAGGAGCCCAGACACTAGATCCTTAGTTGTTGTTGCTGTTATTACTTTTCTGTTGTTGTTGTTGTTGTTGTTGTTGTTGTTTTTCGAGACAAGGTTGCTCTGTAGCCCTGGCTGTTCCTGGAACTCACTCTGTAAACCAGGCTGGTTTCGAACTCACAGAGCCAACCTCTGCCTCCAGAGTGCTAGGATTAAAGGTGTGTGCTGCCGCCTGGCCAGATACTGAGTTATTTATACAGAAGGAGTTTGCTTTGACTTTGATTTAATTGTGGCTGTGTCCAGGTTCTTCCCTCCTGAAGTAAGACTTTATTTCTGATTTTACAAAAGCCCACAGTTGAGGGACTTTGAATTTTAAAAGAATTTGGATTTTTAAACACAGACTGTCTATTTTAAGAGACTGAACTTTTTAAAGTTGTGGGACTTTTAAAAATTGAGCGTTTATGTTGTAATGTTTATATTAACATGTGAACTTGGGGAAAGGTTATGACTGAACAGTAATGTGTTTGGATGTGTAAAGCTAACAAAGGTCAAGTGCTGGCTAGTTTTATGTCTATTTGACACAAGCTGGGGTCATCTGAAGAGGGAGCCTCAACTGAGAAAATGCCCCATGAGACTGGACTTTAGAAAAACCCATGGGGCATTTTCTTAATTAGTGATTGGTTTGGGAAGGCCCAGCCCATGGAGGTCCTGGGTTCTATGACAAAGCAGGCTGAGCAGGCCATGGGGAGCAAGTTAAGCAGCATAGCCTTTGCATCAGCTCCGCCTCCAGGAGTGACAGTGACTGCAAGTGCAGGGACCTGCCCCGCTGCAGTCCAGGGTTGCTGCCTTCAAAGTCCCATAGTTTGTGGTACCACCTCCACAGCAAGAAATAAAGTCCCATGGGCCAGGTGATAGCAGGTGTGACACTTCCTGAGATCTTAGCAACATCTAGACTGGCTCCCAGTGCATGTGGGAGGTCACTAGTGGTCTAAGGGCCCTGGTGGGTGCTGGAGAAGCTATGTGGCTAAGGAGTCACTATCCCTAGGGTTGGTTGGAGGAGACACCCTCCCTGGTCCTATCAGGTTAACAAGCTTGACTATGTGCTGTGGGCAATGGTCATATTCTTTGGGGACAGAGGACACAACTGTGAGCCAGAGGATTGGCATGGCAACTGTATTTGGCTGATAGTACCAGCAGGGTCCACACCGAGAAGAGGCTGAGAGCTAGTTGACTTCAGATCCTATAGGCAGTGGCAAGAGTGCCCTGGGCACTGGGCCGGGAATGCCCAAAGCACTGACCCATTCCTGGACAGGGGATGGTAGTGGGAATAGGTGAGGCTGGTTCCAAGATACCCTTACCCCACCCCCACGCTCCACGCCTGTACCCCAAAGGCAAACATCAGGACACAGGACCTGGAATCCTCTCCAACTCTAGAGAACAGCTAGGGTGAGGCAACAGGAAATGTTTGTGCATGCCCTAAGGCAGGGGACAGTTTACAGAGTGTGGCTGAGGCTCAACTGACCACTGAGAGCTGGGGGTGGGGAGAAGGTACTCACACTCAGCACCTGGGAAGGTCCAGAGGGAAGCTAGCTAGCGTCCTGACCCACCTTGGGAATTTTAGGGGAAGAAAGACTGTGACCCTTTCACTGAGCAAAGGACAGAGTGTTAGTGTCCAGGCTTCCTGGTGGCTGCCACAGGAAAGTCATTGTGGATCATAGACGAGACCCTGATTCACAAATAAGGGAGGAGGGTGAAGGGGAAGGACAGACCAAGGGGCTGGAGTTCAACTGGTAGAGGACACACCTAGCAGGCATGAGGCCCTGGACTCCATCCTCAGCACCCCAGAAACTACTTATGGTGGCGCACGCCTGGAATCCCAGCATTTGAGAGGTGGAGGCAAGAGATCAATCAG